TCCGAAGAAAATAGACGGTGGGTCGGTCAGTAAGCTCTCTGATAATTTTCGTTCGATTCACCATTTATCATATCCGCAGGGTGACTCTATAACATTAACCAACAAGACTGTTCTGTTTCATATTCACGCTTTGACGAAGCTGTGGAGATGGTACAACAGTTGGGAGCGGGCGCCCTCCTTGCAAAGTTTGACATCAAATCAGCGTTCCGCATCATACCAGTCCATCCCCATGACTTCGAGTTGCTCGGCATTCAGTTTAAAGGCAAGTGCTATTTTGATAAATGTTTACCATTCGGATGCTCTATTTCATGCGCTATTTTCGAAAGATTCAGCATGTTTTTGCAATGGTGCATTCTCCGCAGTCTCCCAAATAAGCAGTTAATGCATTACCTGGATGACTTCCTCACAGGGGGCGTTGCCGGTACCAGTGACTGTGATTATAATTTACAATCTTAAATGCATGTACTGAATCACTTCAATGTCCCAGTGGCACCTGAGAAAACTGTTCAACCTACAACAAAAATTACTTTCCTGGGCCTTGAGCTAGACACAGTTGCCGGGCACGTTCGAATCCCACAAGACAAAATTGTTGGGACGACCGTGCAGATCAGAGGGTGGCTGAGTGCTGATCGTAGGAAGGTAACCAAACGCGAACTCCAGTCTCTTGTGGGTAAACTCAATTTCATATTTCGTGCCATTCCCATGGGACGGGCATTTTGTCGGCGTCCTCATCGGCGAGATGTGCAAGTTAAAGTCTCCATTTCACAGATGTCGGCTCACAAAGGGCATCAAGGATGACTTGGTATTGTGGTTACAATTTCTAGAACATTTTAATGGCATATCAGTTTTTCAGAGTCCTGCGTGGACGTCAAAGACAGTCATTCAGCTCTTTACTGACGCAGCAGGCGGTGCAGGTTTTGGTGCTTACTACCAAGGCAAATGGACTTGTGGGCGTTGGCCACAGCAATGGGTGCCGGAGGGCGTGACGAGGGATATGACGCTGTTGGAATTGTTCCCTATTGTATTGTCTGTCCACATTTGGGGCAAGTCGTTGGCCAACAGACGAATTCTGTTTAATTGCGACAATCAAGCGGTCGTTCATATCATCTATAAGCAGTCTTGCCGCGTCCCTCGTACTATGTCTCTTGTGAGAAGCTTCGTTCTATATTGCTTGCAGTACAATATCACATTCAAAGCTGTATACATTAGTACCCATGACAATGTTATAGCTGACTCTCTGTCGAGATTTCAGAGGGACCAGTTCCGCAAATGTGCACGCCAGCAGCGGACCTGACACCAACACCCCTACCGGACGGGATCTTGGACCTCTAGATCGGGAGGTCCAGCGACTGCTACACAAGTCCATGTCATCGAACACCTGGTCGACATACCACACGAGCTTGCAGACGTTCCACACCTTCAGACGAGCCCATGAGCTGTCACCACTTTGGCCGGCCCCAATTGATCAGGTTGTGCTATTTCATTTCGTACCTGTCGGTTAACCATTACTCCAGTAGTACAGCTAAAACATAGATCTCTGCACTATCATCCTTTCATAAGTTAAATGGGTAGCAGGATTGCACCGATCACTTCTTGGTTTCTAAGTTACTTGCTGGCATGTCACGTGACCAGTCGCGACGTGACACACGTAAACCAATAACTGTTAATTTGTTAAAGTTAATAATCCGTAATCTTCCAGCGGTGTGCAGCAACGTATATGAGCAATGTCTTTTCAAAGCTGTTTTCTGTGCCGCATTCTTTGGATTTTTCAGGGTGGGGGAGCTCGTACACAGACCTCGGTTGATCAGCCAGGCATTGCCACCAATGACGTGAAGCTGGACAAATCTGCCGGGCGAAAGTACAATTTACTTTGAGACGCTCCAAGACTGATAGGCTGAACAAAGGCGTGCTTGTTGCCATTTCCTCCTTCCCCTCCAACCCCTTGTGTCCCGTGACAGCTGTCCATTCTTACCTTAACATTCGCCCAAGAGGTCCACAGCAAGCCTTTATCCACTTTGACCACTCCCCTCTCACAAGATATCAGTTCCAGGCCGTGCTTAAAAAGCATTAGCGCTGGCGATGTGTAGACACCTCAGCGTTTTCTTCCCATTCTTTTAGGATTGGGGCTGAAACTACGGCTGCAGCAAACGGCGTTAGCCCACACATAATTAAAAAATATGGTAGATGGGGGTCCGATGCATATGAATCCTACATTCGTTTGCCAGTAATCATTTAGCACAATCTAACAGATATATTTCCTTTCACTTGTCTCACTCTTTTCAGTGTGGCTGATTGGGTCATCCTATATGGCCAGAGCTCAACGTTCGCCTGGGAAACGCGATGTGATACGTGGGTTCGCTCGAGAGGGGATGAGATGGAGGAACTGGTCCCAATCATCGAGAGGGAATCGCCGTTCGACCCCATCCCGCGGTGCTCGTAATCCACCTCGGATCTAATGATATGGTACAGACCAAGACCAGCCTGCTGTACCTCGACATCTTGGAGTCGCTGCTGCGGTGCAGCTACTGCTGCCCAACACGAGGATCTTGTGGTCCAACATGCTACCCGTCGCCACTGGAGCGGTGCCGCCTCGCTTTTCGCCATCGAGGGGCCGCGCAAGACCCTCAACGGCGGGTTGGGAACCGCGTGAGGGAGCTGGGGAGTGCAAATAAGGCATGACATTGAAAGTGCTGACAGTTCCATGTTTTCATGGGATGGCGCCCACCTTTCGCAGCGTGGGCTGCAAGTTTTGTCGAAAACATTAATTGTGCTGTGCTGGCTGCTGTGAAATCCCCTTAAACACAGGTACCTTGTTAAGGCAAGCTATGGTGGGAAACAACCGGGTGAGTTAATGGTCATTTGTGTGGCTCGGCACGCGTCGTGCTTTGGCGGGATTCTTGGAGGCTTAAACATATTATAACAATGTTCTAAATTTAGGGTCCTACTTTTCAGTTGGATCTTATTTTCCCTCCACTTAGCAGTGGTGGGGACTATTTTGGCATATAAATAAATTCCTGCTTCTCAGCGGACGATATCTTTACCTATCATTTTGCTGCTGCTGCAACTTCGTTTGCCAATGCTATATCCTGCTGCTGCAACTTCGCTTTGCCAATGCTATATCCTGCTGCTGGTGTCTACTCCGTGAGTCGCCCGTTTTAACTCCTCTTCCATAGTTATTAAGTTAGGGCCCTCCAAGAACCGCCACGCCATGACCATTAACCCACAACAATTTTTATTATTTGTGTTGTATGCGCGACGATCAACACATTGGGTTGACGCCGCCGGTCCAACAGAGAATGTGTTTTGATAATTACATTTAGTGATTGACACTAAATGCGGTTATCAAAACCATTCTCTTGCATCCTTCGCATTTGCTTCCGCGTTCTCGTGTTTTACTTCCACATTCTGTTATCTGCCGCCATAGTTACGTCACTTAGTTACCAGTGACGCCATGTATTAAACGCATGCCGATTACGCCACTTTCTGAATGTCATTCGCTACCGATCTTATCGTGCCATCAACACCATTCGTAAAATCCCGCCCTTCCCACCCTAGCTTGCCTTGTTATATATATTTTGCCATGTGAATTCTTATTCAAATCATTTCAGTCGCTGTAAATGCTCCTGAATAAAAATGTTATTGGTGTGGCGGGATTCTTGGAGGCTTAAACATATTATAACAATGTTCTAAATTTAGGGGTCCTACTTTTCAGTTGGATCTTATTTTCCCTCCACTTAGCAGTGGTGGGGACTATTTTGGCATATAAATAAATTCCTGCTTCTCAGCGGACGTATATTTTTACCTATCATTTTGCTGCTGCTGCAACTTCGTTTGCCAATGCTATATCCTGCTGCTGCAACTTCGTTTGCCAATGCTATATCCTGCTGCTGGTGTCTACTCCGTAGTCGCCCGTTTTAACTCCTCTTCCATAGTTATTAAGTTAGGGCCCCTCCAAGAACCGCCACGCTCATGACCATTAACCCACAACAATTTTTATTATTTGTGTTGTATGCGTGACGTCAACGCACATTGGGTTGACGCCGCCGGTCCAACAGAGAATTTGATATCGTGATAAGACCATTAATGTTTCGAATTATCATGCAAGTTAAATTTGGCTATATTTTGTTTACTTTGATATTATAATAGTCACTTACATTACATCCTTAACCATACACATTTGACAGGCCTAGTTCAAACAGGGACAGAGTAGAAACATGCAAACTTTTAGGATCCGTCAAACCTATTTTCACAGCTCTTTGTCATGGCAACCTCAAAACCGATATATCATACTCGCATATATGTTCAACAGTGCTCCAAATCCATTACAAACTAAAGAAAGCAGATACAAATTTTCATAAATTACAAACTGGCAAGAGACATTTTAGACTTGACAGTAAAGTTATTTAACTACCTACTTAATTTCATTGATAGGCAAATGAAACGTCTGTCATAGCAAAATACTTTGGTCTGTTTACTGGGTTGTCCATAATGAAAATTACATACTGATTATCCTTTAAGGTGTGTAAATATTTGCGGTGACAGTCATGTACGTTTCAAAATTAACAATGAGTTGGATATATTTCATTTATTCCTGACATGTGGCAGACATGCACTGTTTAAATCTTTAGTAGGGGTGGTGACATCAACTAATCAACTAAAGAAGAAAGACAGGAAAACACACAATTGTGCTCTTTTATTGAGAATGAGTGGTTCATTTGTCTATGGTAGTGTGCAAGTGTCAATACTACCAGTGTGTACATGTGTATGGTAGTGTGCAAGTGTCAACACTACCAGTGTGTACATGTCTATGGTAGTGTGCAAGTGTCAATACTACCAGTGTGTACATGTCTATGGTAGTGTGCAAGTGTCAACACTACCAGTGTGTACATGTCTATGGTAGTGTGCAAGTGTCAATACTACCAGTGTGTACATGTCTATGGTAGTGTGCAAGTGTCAACACTACCAGTGTGTACATGCATTGCGTGCATCAACTGGCCCACCTTCGAGTGATCATCAACAAGGAGCACCTGACACCTCTCACACCGCAGCAAGGACTGTGTGTGCATCATAATCTTGTGGATCAGGTTAGCAACATTACTCTGTTCTTCAAATATCACACGGGCGAGATCCAGTAGCACCTGCAATGACAGACAATTGTACTTTTCTGTTACATAGCTCAACACCATCAATACAGGTGGCAACATAGCCCCTGCAACATGGGTTATATAGCTCAACACCATCAATACAGGTGGCAAGATAGCCCCTGCAACATGGGTTATATAGCTCAACACCATCAATACAGGTTGCAAGATAGCCCCTGCAACATGGGTTATATAGCTCAACACCAACAATACAGGTGGCAAGATAGCCCCTGCAACATGGGTTATATAGCTCAACACCATCAATACAGGTTACAAGATAGCCCCTGCAACATGGGTTATATAGCTCAACACCATCAATACAGGTGGCAACATAGCCCCTGCAACATGGGTTATATAGCTCAACACCAACAACACAGGTGGCAAGATAGCCCCTGCAACATGGGTTATATAGCTCAACACCAACAACACAGGTGACAAGATAGCCCCTGCAACATGGGTTATATAGCTCAACACCAACAACACAGATAGCCCTCACAACATGGGTTATATAGCTCAACACCATCAACACAGGTGGCAAGATAGCCCCTGCAACATGGGTTATATAGCTCAACACCATCAATACAGGTGGCAAGATAGCCCCTGCAACATGGGTTATACAGCTGAACACCATCAATACAGGTGGCAAGATAGCCCTCACAACATGGGTTATACAGCTCAACACCATCAATACAGGTGGCAAGATAGCCCCTGCAACATTGGTTATATAGCTCAACACCAACAACACAGATAGCCCCTGCAACATGGGTTATATAGCTCAACACCACCAACACAGGTGGCAACATACCCCTGCAACATGGGTTATATAGCTCAACACCAACAACACAGATAGCCCTCACAACATGGGTTATATAGCTCAACACCACCAACACAGGTGGCAACATACCCCTGCAACATGGGTTATATAGCTCAACACCAACAACACAGGTGGCAAGATAGCCCCTGCAACATGGGTTATATAGCTCAACACCAACAACACAGATAGCCCTCACAACATGGATTATATAGCTCAACACCAACAACACAGATAGCCCCTGCAACATGGGTTATATAGCTCAACACCAACAACACAGATAGCCCTCACAACATGGGTTATATAGCTCAACACCAACAACACAGATAGCCCTGCAACATGGGTTATATAGCTCAACACCAACAACACAGATAGCCCTCACAACATGGGTTATATAGCTCAACACCACACACAACAACACAGATAGGTTATATGGCTCAACACCAACATGGGTTATATATATGCTCAACACCAACAACACAACACCAACAACACAGATAGCCCCTCTGCAACATGGGTTATATAGCTCAACACCAACAACACAGATGGCAAGATAGCCCTGCAACATGGGTTATATAGCTCAACACCAACAACACAGATAGCCCTCACAACATGGGTTATATAGCTCAACACCAACAACACAGATAGCCCCCTGCAAGATAGCCCCTGCAACATGGGTTATATAGCTCAACACCAACACCAACACACAGATAGCCCTGCAACATGGGTTATATAGCTCAACACCAACAACACAGATAGCCCTCACAACATGGGTTATATGGCTCAACACCAACACACACAGATAGCCCCTGCAACATGGGTTATATAGCTCAACACCAACAACACAGATAGCCCTCACAACATGGGTTATATGGCTCAACACCAACAACACAGATAGCCCCTCACAACATGGGTTATATAGCTCAACACCAACAACACAGATAGCCCTCACAACATGGGTTATATAGCTCAACACCAACAACACAGATAGCCCTCACAACATGGGTTATATAGCTCAACACCAACAACACAGATAGCCCCTCACAACATGGGTTATATGGCTCAACACCAACAATACAGATAGCCCACCACAACATGGGTTATATAGCTCAACACCAACAACACAGATAGCCCTCACAACATGGGTTATATAGCTCAACACCAACAACACAGATAGCCCTCACAACATGGGTTATATAGCTCAACACCACCAACACAGGTAGCCCCTCACAACATGGGTTATATAGCTCAACACCAACAACACAGATAGCCCTCACAACATGGGTTATATATGCTCAACACCAACAACACAGATAGCCCATGGGTTATATGGCTCCCACAACATGGGTTATATAGCTCAACACCAACAACACAGATAGCCCTCACAACATGGGTTATATAGCTCAACACCAACAACACAGGTGACAAGATAGCCCTCACAACATGGGTTATATAGCTCAACACCAACAACACAGATAGCCCTCACAACATGGGTTATATAGCTTAACACCAACAACACAGATAGCCCCTGCAACATGGGTTATATAGCTCAACACCAACAACACAGATAGCCCCTGCAACATGGGTTATATAGCTTAACACCAACAACACAGATAGCCCTCACAACATGGGTTATATAGCTCAACACCAACAACACAGGTGACAAGATAGCCCTCACAACATGGGTTATATAGCTCAACACCAACAACACAGATAGCCCTCACAACATGGGTTATATAGCTTAACACCAACAACACAGATAGCCCCTGCAACATGGGTTATATAGCTCAACACCAACAACACAGATAGCCCCTGCAACATGGGTTATATAGCTTAACACCAACAACACAGGTGACAAGATAGCCCTCACAACATGGGTTATATAGCTCAACACCAACAACACAGATAGCCCCTGCAACATGGGTTACATAGCTTAACACCAACAACACAGATAGCCCTCACAACATGGGTTATACAGCTCAACACCACCAGTAGGGTGGCAAGATAGCCCCTGCAACATGGGTTATATAGCTCAACACCAACAACACAGATAGCCCTCACAACATGGGTTATATAGCTCAACACCAACAACACAGGTGACAAGACAGCCCCTGCAACATGGGTTATACAGCTCAACACCAACAACACAGATAGTCCTCACAACATGGGTTATATAGCTCAACACCAACAACACAGATAGCCCCCACAACATGGGTTATATAGCTCAACACCATCAATACAGGTGGCAACATAGCCCCTGCAACATGGGTTATATAGCTCAACACCAACAACACAGGTGACAAGATAGCCCCTGCAACATGGGTTATATAGCTCAACACCAACAACACAGATAGTCCTCACAACATGGGTTATATAGCTCAACACCAACAACACAGGTGGCAACATAGCCCCTGCAACATGGGTTATATAGCTCAACACCAACAACACAGATAGCCCTCACAACATGGGTTATATAGCTCAACACCAACAACACAGATAGCCCTCACAACATGGGTTATATAGCTCAACACCATCAATACAGGTGGCAACATAGCCCCTGCAACATGGGTTATATAGCTCAACACCAACAACACAGGTGACAACATAGCCCCTGCAACATGGGTTATACAGCTCAACACCAACAACACAGATAGTCCTCACAACATGGGTTATATAGCTCAACACCAACAACACAGATAGCCCTCACAACATGGGTTATATAGCTCAACACCATCAATACAGGTGGCATGGGTTATATAGCACCAACAACACAGATGCAACAACATGGGTTATATAGCCTCATGGGTTATACAGCTCACACAACAACACAGATAGTCCTGCAACATGGGTTATATAGCTCAACACCAACAACACAGATAGTCCTCACAACATGGGTTATACAGCTCAACACCATCAATACAGGTGGCAACATAGCCCCTGCAACATGGGTTATATAGCTCAACACCAACAACACAGGTGACAAGACAGCCCCTGCAACATGGGTTATACAGCTCAACACCAACAACACAGATAGTCCTCACAACATGGGTTATATAGCTCAACACCATCAATACAGGTGGCAACATAGCCCCTGCAACATGGGTTATATAGCTCAACACCAACAACACAGATAGTCCTCACAACATGGGTTATATAGCTCAACACCATCAATACAGGTGGCAACATAGCCCCTTCAACATGGGTTATATAGCTCAACACCAACAACACAGGTGACAAGACAGCCCCTGCAACATTGGTTATATAGCTCAACACCAACAACACAGATAGCCCCTGCAACATGGGTTATATAGCTCAACACCAACAACACAGGTGACAAGACAGCCCCTGCAACATTGGTTATATAGCTCAACACCAACAACACAGATAGCCCCTCACAACATGGGTTATATAGCTCAACACCAACAACACAGATAGCCCCCACAACATGGGTTATATAGCTCAACACCAACAACACAGGTGGCAACATAGCCCTCACAACATGGGTTATATAGCTCAACACCAACAACACAGGTGGCAAGATAGCCCCTGCAACATGGGTTATATAGCTCAACAACAACAACAACACAGATAGCCCTCACAACATGGGTTATATAGCTCAACACCAACAACACAGGTGGCAAGATAGCCCCTGCAACATGGGTTATATAGCTCAACACCAACAACACAGGTGGCAAGATAGCCCCTGCAACATGGGTTATACAGCTCAACACCAACAACACAGATAGTCCTCACAACATGGGTTATATAGCTCAACACCAACAACACAGATAGCCCTCACAACATGGGTTATATAGCTCAACACCAACAACACAGATAGCCCTCACAACATGGGTTATATAGCTCAACACCAACAACACAGATAGCCCCACAACATGGGTTATATAGCTCAACACCAACAACACAGATAGCCCTCACAACATGGGTTATATAGCTCAACACCAACAACACAGATAGCCCTCACAACATGGGTTATATAGCTCAACACCAACAACACAGATAGCCCCACAACATGGGTTATATAGCTCAACACCAACAACACAGATAGCCCTCACAACATGGGTTATATAGCTTAACACCACTCAACACAGATAGCCCTCACAACATGGGTTATATAGCTCAACACCAACAACACAGATAGTCCTCACAACATGGGTTATATAGCTCAACACCAACAACACAGATAGCCCTCACAACATGGGTTATATAGCTCAACACCAACAACACAGATAGCCCTCACAACATGGGTTATATAGCTCAACACCAACAACACAGATAGTCCTCACAACATGGGTTATATAGCTCAACACCAACAACACAGATAGCCCTCACAACATGGGTTATACAGCTCAACACCAACAACACAGGTGGCAACATAGCCCCTGCAACATGGGTTATATAGCTCAACACCAACAATACAGGTGGTGAAGTTATTGTAAACATAGAGGCATCATCATAGTTACACACAGTACCTGGTTCCTTCTGTTTTCAAGTTGAGACCTTTCATATAGTTGAGCATTTTTCACACCAATACCGCAGAATGCAAGATATGAGGCAAAGACCTGCAACAAAGATTGTAAGGACAGTAAAGCATTTCATCAATATAAACAATCCACAAACTGTGTTCATGTCATCTATAAACAGTCCAGAACTAGCCTGGTATGTTGATGTCATCTATAAACAGTCCAGAACTAGCCTGGTATGTTGATGTCATCTATAAACAGTCCAGAACTGGAGCCAGGTATGTTGATGTCATCTATAAACAGTCCAGAACGGGAGCCAGGTATGTTGATGTCATCTATAAACAGTCCAGAACGGGAGCCAGGTATGTTGATGTCATCTATAAACAGTCCAGGACTGGAGCCAGGTATGTTGATGTCATCTATAAGCAGTCCAGAACTAGCCAGGTATGTTGATGTCATCTATAAACAGTCCAGAATGGGAGCCAGGTATGTTGATGTCATCTATAAACAGTCCAGAACGGGAGCCAGGTATGTTGATGTCATCTATAAACAGTCCAGAACGGGAGCCAGGTATGTTGATGTCATCTATAAACAGTCCAGAACGGGAGCCAGGTATGTTGATGTCATCTATAAACAGTCCAGAACTAGCCTGGTATGTTGATGTCATCTATAAACAGTCAGAGAACGGAGCCAGGTGTGTTGATGTCATCTATAAACAGTCCAGAACATGAGCCAGGTATGTTGATGTCATCTATAAACAGTCCAGAACGGGGAGCCAGGTATGTTGATGTCATCTATAAACAGTCCAGAACGGGGAGCCAGGTATGTTGATGTCATCTATAAACAGTCCAGAACGTGAGCCAGGTATGTTGATGTCATCTATAAACAGTCCAGAACGGGAGCCAGGTATGTTGATGTCATCTATAAACAGTCCAGAACTAGCCAGGTATGTTGATGTCATCTATAAACAGTCCAGAACGGAGCCAGGTATGTTGATGTCATCTATAAACAGTCCAGAACGGGGAGCCAGGTATGTTGATGTCATCTATAAACAGTCCAGAACGGAGCCAGGTATGTTGATGTCATCTATAAACAGTCCAGAACGGGGAGCCAGGTATGTTGATGTCATCTATAAACAGTCCAGAACGGAGCCAGGTATGTTGATGTCATCTATAAACAGTCCAGAACGGAGCCAGGTATGTTGATGTCATCTATAAACAGTCCAGAACGGAGCCAGGTATGTTGATGTCATCTATAAACAGTCCAGAACTGGAGCCAGGTATGTTGATGTCATCTATAAACAGTCAGAGCTCTGTTGATGTCATCTATAAACAGTCCAGAACTAGCCAGGTATGTTGATGTCATCTATAAACAGTCCAGAATGGGAGCCAGGTATGTTGATGTCATCTATAAACAGTCCAGAACGGGAGCCAGGTATGTTGATGTCATCTATAAACAGTCCAGAACGGGAGCCAGGTATGTTGATGTCATCTATAAACAGTCCAGAACGGGAGCCAGGTATGTTGATGTCATCTATAAACAGTCCAGAACTAGCCTGGTATGTTGATGTCATCTATAAACAGTCCAGAACGGGAGCCAGGTGTGTTGATGTCATCTATAAACAGTCCAGAACATGAGCCAGGTATGTTGATGTCATCTATAAACAGTCCAGAACGGGAGCCAGGTATGTTGATGTCATCTATAAACAGTCCAGAACGGGAGCCAGGTATGTTGATGTCATCTATAAACAGCCAGGGTATGTTGATGTCATCTATAAACAGTCCAGAACGGGGAGCCAGGTATGTTGATGTCATCTATAAACAGTCCAGAACGGGAGCCAGGTATGTTGATGTCATCTATAAACAGTCCAGAACGGGAGCCAGGTATGTTGATGTCATCTATAAACAGTCCAGAACGGAGCCAGGTATGTTGATGTCATCTATAAACAGTCCAGAATGGCAGCCAGGTATGTTGATGTCATCTATAAACAGTCCAGAACTAGCCTGGTATGTTGATGTCATCTATAAACAGTCCAGAACTGGAGCCAGGTATGTTGATGTCATCTATAAACAGTCCAGAACTAGCCTGGTATGTTGATGTCATCTATAAACAGTCCAGAACGGGAGCCAGGTATGTTGATGTCATCTATAAACAGTCCAGAACGGGAGCCAGGTATGTTGATGTCATCTATAAACAGTCCAGAACGGGAGCCAGGTATGTTGATGTCATCTATAAACAGTCCAGAACGGGAGTCAGGTATGTTTATGTCACTGCTGCATCTCAACTCTGAATGATCATCACAGCACTGTCACTACTGGGGACAAGGTTAGATTCTATCATTTACATATAAGTACTGACTGACTGAGTTTAGTTTTACGCCGCTTTTAGCAATATTCCAGCAATATTCCAGAAATGGGCTTAACACATTGTGCCCATGTGGGGAATCAAACCCGGGTCTTCGGCGTGACGAGCCAACGCTTTAACCACTAGGCTACCCCACAGCCCTACATATAAGTATCACAAAGATGGTGGGATGTGGTGTTTTAGTCTAGTTATCAAGGCATTAAAAATTTTAGTTGAATATCTGCAATATTCATCATTTTGCAATATCATCCACATGGTATGACATGTCGTAAAACTATTGCACATTTAGATCATTATACATTTCAGTATCCAGTTGAAAATAATGTGATTTACTGAGTGTTAAGCTACTGTATTGTTATACAGTGCTTTCAAAAATAATTTATATAGTCTGTAGGACATAACTGAAACTATCAGTAATACATTTCTCTCCAATTTACAGGTTACAGCTACACCTGTCAGTAAAACATTTATCTCCAATTTACAGGTTACAGCTACACCTGTCAGTAATACATTTATCTCCAATTTACAGGTTACAGCTACACCTGTCAGTGATACATTTATCTCCAATTTAGAGGTTACAGCTACACCTGTCAGTAATACATTTATCTCTAATTTACAGGTTACAGCTACACCTGTCAGTAATACATTTATCTCTAATTTACAGGTTACAGCTACACCTGACAGTAATACATTTATCTCTAATTTACAGGTTACAGCTACACCTGTCAGATATACATTTATCTCTAATTTACAGGTTACAGCTACACCTGTCAGTAATACATTTATCTCTAATTTACAGGTTACAGCTACACCTGTCAGTAATACATTTATCTCCAATTTACAGGTTACAGCTTCACCTGTCAGTAATACATTTATCTCTAATTTACAGGTTAAAGCTTCACCTGTCAGTAATACATTTATCTCCAATTTACAGGTTACAGCTACACCTGTCAGTAATACATTTATCTCTAATTTACAGGTTACAGCTACACCTGTCAGTAATACATTTATCTCCAATTTACAGGTTACAGCTACACCTGTCAGTAATACATTTATCTCCAATTTACAGGTTACAGCTTCACCTGTCAGTAATACATTTATCTCCAATTTACAGGTTACAGCTACACCTGTCAGTAATACATTTATCTCCTATTTACAGGTTACAGCTACACCTGTCAGTAATACATTTATCTCTAATTTACAGGTTACAGCTACACCTGTCAGTAATACATTTATCTCCAATTTACAGGTTAAAGCATTCGCTCGTCACGCCGAAGACCCGGGTTCGAATCCCCACATGGGCACAATGTGTGAAGCCCATTTCTGGTGTCCCCCGCCATGATATTGCTGGAATATTGCTAAAAGCGGCGTAAAACCATACTCCCTCACTCACTCAGTAATACATTTATCTCTAATTTACAGGTTACAACTACACCTGTCAGTAATACATTTATCTCTAATTTACAGGTTACAGCTACACCTGTCAGTAATACATTTATCTCTAATTTACAGGTTACAGCTACACCTGACAGTAATACATTTATCTCTAATTTACAGGTTACAGCTACACCTGTCAGATATACATTTATCTCTAATTTACAGGTTACAGCTACACCTGTCAGTAATACATTTATCTCTAATTTACAGGTTACAGCTACACCTGTCAGTAATACATTTATCTCCAATTTACAGGTTACAGCTTCACCTGTCAGTAATACATTTATCTCCAATTTACAGGTTACAGCTTCACCTGTCAGTAATACATTTATCTCTAATTTACAGGTTACAGCTACACCTGTCAGTAATACATTTATCTCCTATTTACAGGTTACAGCTACACCTGTCAGTAATACATTTATCTCCATCTCAGCTAATTTATTTATCTCCAATTTACAGGTTACAGCTTCACACCTTTATCTCAGTTAATACACCTGTCATTTATCTCCAATTTACAGGTTACAGCTACACCTGTCAGTAATTACAGCTACATGTCAGTATCTCCTCCATTTACACCTGGTTACAGCTTACACCTGTCAGTAATACATTTATCTCTAATTTACAGGTTACAGCTACACCTGTCAGTAATACATTTATCTCCAATTTACAGGTTAAAGCATTAAACTCGTCACTCCGAAGACCCGGGTTCGAATCCCCACATGGGCACAATGTGTGAAGCCCATTTCTGGTGTCCCCCGCCATGATATTGCTGGAATATTGCTAAAAGCGGCGTAAAACCATACTCCCTCACTCACTCAGTAATACATTTATCTCTAATTTACAGGTTACAACTACACCTGTCAGTAATACATTTATCTCCAATTTACAGGTTACAGCTACACCTGTCAGTAATACATTTATCTCTAATTTACAGGTTACAGCTTCACCTGTCAGTAATACATTTATCTCCAATTGGCAGGTTACAGCTACACCTGTCAGTAATACATTTCTCTCTAATTTACAGGTTACAGCTACACCTGTCAGTAAGTAGGCTCTGTATCTGTAATAACATTGGGATAGCTGTTCTACCCTTACAACCAAAATGTATGAATACTCAGTGAAAGTGTTACTTACGACACACTGTAAATGCTAAATGTAATAATGTAATGATATGTTTGTTAATTATAGAAAGTCGTAAAAGTATACTGGTAATTTAACCACACTATGTTATGTTTTACAATATTATCACCATTTCTGCTGTGTTGGGATCTTCATATCCCTGCTGTAGTGAGTGAGTGAGTTGCGTTTTACGCCACACTCAGCAATATTCCAACTATATGGCGGCTATCCCTGCTGTAAATACAGATGATAAATCCCCCTGAACCTCCTCAAAATATTAATCATTCTTCAATACCTCCATTACACAAATACCAAAAGTGTATCTTATATGTACGAAAGTTTTATAATGTTTAACTTCGTATTCGTACTTGAAATCAGAGATGAGTAATTGAGGCAAGATGTTTCAGAATATGTCACAAATATCTTCCAACCTTTCTAAGAAAGATATGTCGGTAAACAAAAGGTCACATAAATTTCAAACCATTGTAACTAGTTGTTAGGCAACTGATAATTAAAAAAAATTATGTTACAAGGTTATCGTGAACAAAGATGCTGGTACACACAGTAAGTGTCATAACTGCTCGATGAACATGTGACAGCAAAATGACTTGAGAGGTCAGAAGCACTAAATCATCTCGCAATTATCCAGACACTGCTTCATTATTTACAGTAATGTCAATGCAATATTTTCCCTGAACACACATCAAAGTTTCACAATGGCATCTAAGCACCACCACGCTGACATAAGGGCATTATTAGACCAACAGGAAGTATGAATCAGTGTGTCACTTTCTTGGTGAAATTGGGTCTAAGACATCAATTAATTCAAAGACATAAGATATGCTATTCACTTACATATATACCTCTTTTCATATTTTGAATACAATGAAAAAAACTTTATCAACATTTAGAAATAAGTCTCCTAGATGCCTCTCATAAAATGAGGGGCGGTGGGGTAGCCTGGTGGTTAAAGCGTCCGCTCGTCACGCCAAAGACCCGGGTTCAAATCCCCACATGGGCACAATGTGTGAAACCCATTTCTGGTGTCCCCCGCCGTGATATTGCTGGAATATTGCTAAAAGCGGCGTAAAACCATACTCACTCACTTTTATAAAATGACTGTATATGTCTACATTAGCTATACTGATAATGTTTGGTGCTCAATTATGCCTCATCACAAGTTTACTCAAGCATTAGAATACCAGACAAAACTTTACATTATCTCACCTTCTCATCATGTTCATCAAATGGTTCATCTCGGACACTGATTTTGTTAATGGCCTGTGCTACCCCGATGACCTCTCCGTCACTATCCTTGATGGCCATACACAGGATACTTCTGGTCTTGTAGGACATCTGGACATCAATATCACTGTTGAAGCGAGGATCCTGAAATATAACACATAATCTGAAATGTGCTTCTCAAAATGAAATATGCAAAGGTAATATTGATGTTCATATATGAAGGAAATGTGCCCAGAAGTGATATGTGAAACATTACAAATACAGTCTAACACCTGTGTGTGGACGTTGAAGGAACCTCATTGAGTACTTCTGAGCTGTCAGAGTTTGACACATCCACAACATGATGACTAAAGGAAGAACACGTAGGAACTTCTACAGTGATGAGTTTGTTACAACAGTGTCTCACTGTATGTCACTTGGTATGAAACTGATTGTCACTGTGGGAGTTACCAAGATGCAGGAATGACGGAAAGCAACATCAAGTGAGAAGCTCAGGATCAATGCACAACGATGAATAGGCCATAAAATTTAGGGGTTCTGGCTACCAAAACATATCTCTTATTAACTGTTCAACTGCATAGTTATGGCAAGAAGAACTGAAAGTGATGTTGGACAATTGGAAGCAGATGAATCACTGTGGGCTGTTTAATACCAACTCAGATTCAGCATTGCTTCGATGAAAATTGTCAAGATTGTCACTTATGGAGAAACATCCTCCTCCACAGCAGCAGCAGTAATTCCAGGAATGTGACGGGTGTCTGACCAGCAGCAACAAACCTAGTGTGGTTGATTACTACTCACATTGGTACCATGCCAAGACATCCATCAGAATTCGGGAAATCCAGATCAAACTATGTGAACAAGACATTCATCTACCAATACAGTGGAAGATGGATGTGGTAGGTACACCACTACAGCCAAAGCTGTCAATGTGTTGGTGTCAAATTGGACTGACTGAGAGTCAAGTTGACCACATTCTGTGCTCCTCCTCCTCAGCTCCTCCTCACAGTACTGGGATGGGCCAGCTGATAATTTTAAGGGGACGGTGCTGTGGTAGGGCATCATGTATCCTGTGACTGGTGTCTGACAGTACTTGGATGGGCCAGCTGATAATTTTAAGGGGACGGTGCTGGGGTAGGGCATCATGTATCCTGTGACTGGTGTCTGACAGTACTGGGATGGGCCAGCTGAAAAGTTTGAGGGACGGTGCAGTGGTAGGGCATTATTAACGGATGTTATTAAACAGTTTATGTCAACTGGCAAGTACAGAAATGTTTTATCAATGACAATTAAAGTGAATAGTAACATCTTGATGTGATCCTCCAACTTGAAGCATTCCAGTTAGTCATCCCTAACTATATCATGCTTCACGATACCATGAATTCAATTAAACCTCATGTAAACTGACTGGCAAATCACAAAACTCACTCTTATTTACAGCACCCACGATTGGATTACTGCTACTTACACCTTGAAACAAACCTATGTTGACAGAGAATGGATTCATATATCATAAATGCCACACTTTGACACATTAAAAGTCATATCTCATGTGGTTTGACTCTTATGACAACAAATTGTGTTTGTGATAGAAATAGCAAGACCACAGCAACAATCAGCCGTGACTCCTCAATGTGTGACAGGTATCTGAATTGGTATGCCTCTGGTTATTATTATTTGAAACAAAGTGAAAGCCACATTAAAATAACACAATTTAGAAGATATTATTCCTCGTAAAATAATAGTTTCAGATACTATTTTTTTCAGACAATCTCATCACAATTCTTCCCAGTGTTGTTTCTCGATGTATTTTAAATTAATCATTGACATTCCATAAGATTTTAAAACCATTTGATCAGTTGGTCATAATCAGAGAAGATATTTAAAACCACAGTGAAAGTGCAATGGTCTTTGCACAAAGGTCAGTGGAGGTCAAGGGGTCTGGTACTATTTCTATCAGAAGGAAGAGAGCTCAATTTGAAGGGTTGTAGTCTAATATCCCTTGCTTCAGTCACCAAAGCAATTTATTATATTTGAGTGAAATGAGCAAACATACTTTACAAATGACCTTCACTTTGACCTTGACTTTATTTGTATAAAAGATTTTTAATTTCAACCCTGCCTGAGGACAACAAGTACCAAGTTCCATTAAGCTACAGCAAAACCATCTTTGCCAGTAAACACCAGACGTTTGATGAAACAAAGATGACCTTTCTCATGACAAGGTGTCAGCACAATTTTCCAAAGCTATAAAGGAGCCATGCATGCTGTGATATTCTTAAAAACAATTACCGTGAAATGTTTCCAAAACAAAGTGTTGCAGCAGTAGTCAAATTCAGGCAAAACCCTAAAGCATCACCACTTACATAATGAAAATAAGATTAAATGGTGCTGAACTTCACATTCAAGATTATTGGCCTTATATAGCAATGTACATTCACATATGTATGTGTGTTGAAGACTTGACTATAGCTGATACCACTAGCCCACTGAGATGCCATGCTGGAGTGTCACGTGAACATCCAACACAGGATTCTGACGCCAGACTCACCTGTCTTTGTTGCATCCCCTTAATGTTGAGCCAAACTACTGACACGGTCTCAAACCTGTGAAACACAGAGTTTAGTTTTACACTTCTTTTAGCAGTATTTCTGCAATATCGTGGTAGCGGACACCAGAAATGGGCTTCACACATTGTACCCATGTGCAGAATCGAACTCTGGTCTTCTAACCACAAGGCCACCCCACTGCCCCTCTGGAACACAGGACATAGTCTTTGGTGAGGGCATGCATGTGGTTCTTGAGGAGATTATGTGTCCAAACAAAATTATTCACTTTGAGAATCAACAACCAGGGTCCCGTTCCTCAAAGCGAGCATAGCTCTAAGATGATTGTAACTCCCATACTTTAACATAGACTTACGACTGTTGTAGCGCTACGATGAGGAATGGGACCTGATGGACAGTCAATGGATAATGTATCATGGCCAAAGCTCTCCTCACTATCAATCAGGACAGAAGAAAGAAAGAAAACCAATTTTGCAAATGATTGAAAATGACTTCTCCATTGAAGACCTAGTTGTTTAACTGTTTATAGTCTGTTTGGCTCAAAAGCGGACCGATGAATTGCAATCTAACTCGAAAACTAATAAACATAACATACTCAATGAAACGCTGATCATAATCAAAACATCATACCAACTCTGTGAGGTTTTTGCAGAATTTTTGTCCTAAAAATAATAAAGTTGTTTAACAAACTATCATTAAAATATTGACACAGTTCACTATTTGTTACGAGGGAGGAGTGCAGAGAAAGGGACAGCCAGGTGTTCGAGAAGCACGTTCACAGACAAAGTTATTTATTCATTAACCTGTGCTGCGCCATCTCCATCCGTTCTCGAACACCTGGCTGTCCCTTTCTCTGCACTCCTCCCTCGTAACAAATAGTGAACTGTGTCAATATTTTAATGATAGATTGTTAAACAACTTTATTATTTTTAGGACAAAAATTCTGCAAAAACCTCACAGAGTTGGTATGATGTTTTGATTATGATCAGCGTTTCATTGAGTATTTTATGTTTATTAGTTTTCGAGTTAGATTGCAATTCATCGGTCCGCTTTTGAGCCAAACGGACTATACATATCTAGCAAATTTCCAAAATTTCCAAAAATATTTTGGATATTCAAGATTTGATTAATTTATCTATTCTTTTAAATAACAATTTTTAGATCATATATATCTTCAGTAAATGGCATACATGTTCTGAGTGATTCTCAAGACCTTCATTAAATGTATCCTCCAATAATGATCAAACAAAACAGCTTCCCACATTGTGCCATGTATGACCTTAACCTTTAATACCAACTGTTGTGATGAATTCTACAGAGCCTTAAGTGCAGAGCAGCTGGCTCACATTCTCCACACAGGTGCTGTGGCTAGCTCTCAATGTGCATGATCAGGTCATGTTAAGACTGACTCCTTGGCAGCCTATAATTGCACTTGGAGGCACACACCTGCCTTGTATGTAAAGAGATAACATTCTACAGCTGTCTTCATTAGAAATCTCATTCAATTGCACATGATGTGTAAGAAATCGGGCTGTTCAATTACCACTGCCCTATAAAAAAGACAGAATCAGCCACATTTGTAGAGAAAGAACTCATTTCCATTAAGAAGCTACAGGCATGTCTTGTTGGCCTACTTTAGTTGTGTAAATATATGTGACTGTGTGTCAAACTCGATTACTGAAGTAATAATGTTACTCTTACTGAACACTTCTTCAGATACAAAATGGGAAAAACATGGCATTATAGTAGTGAGTCACTCAGTTCATTTTGATGAAAATACCATAAAAGATGAATGCCAGTAGTGTTTCTGTCAAGTTATTTTGAACAATTTTTCATTGCATTTGACAAGTCATGCAGGATCTATTATTCATAATAATTATTATTATCAATGAATGACACAACCACTTTTGATATCTTTGACCTGTGTTTACCTGTCATTTGATGTAGTAGTTCTTATAACAAGTGTCCTTGTAGAGGTTACAGGGTCAAACAAACTGAGAGTGAAATAATCAAGATCCATAGCCTTTACTGTTAAACAGGCCTGTGCTTTTAGCAATTATAACTCCAATGATACCAAGGCATGGGACACCAGAAATTAAACAGAAGTTATTATCAAGCTATGATTGTGTATAATTCTGAAAATAGCAACATCACATCATTGCCAATATTTCTGCAATTTGTTGGGACATCACACTAACAAATCCTTATATTTTAAACAAATGTCCTTTTCACTGCCTGCAATCCCAACCAGTTGTTAGGCAAACAATATACTTTGTTTAATAGCCTCTGCATTTGGACATGTCAATTCTTGCCCGTGTCTTCAAGGTACAACACTTTTGTCATTATATATTTGCACACTGTTTTAGTATTACTACCTATAAAAGTTTTAAAGGGTTTCAATAAATAAATAAAATAATGGACATTTATAAAATGCCTGTATCCACGCACTTGTGCACGCTCAAAGCAATGAGACATTATTACCCCGGATAATCCTTTCTGCCTGTGAGGCGCGCTAGAAGGTTAACAGTCCTACGACCTATCCAACCGGGTACCCATTCACTGCTGAGTGAACAGAGG